CAATTGCATGTCTTTGAATTGTTTCATTGCGCGGTCTTAACGCAGCTGAACTCTGTAGAGAAAGCAGGTTGCACAGTGCCCTTTTACTTATTTAGCCTCTCCCCAATTCCCCTTTTATCCTTTACTTATCCCTTTGCCTACTGGCTCTACCATATGTTATGACTTAACTTTTCACTCTTGCAATTATCACAGCAAAAACTTTTTCATAACGGGTCGATCAATCAATATCATTGTCAAATCCATTTGTCAGTATTCACAGTTGTGTAAATTTTCTCAATCTCAATATTCGGAGAGTCCTAAATTTCCCAACTTGATTTCAAATAGAAAAGACTTACTCTAATATTCACCGGTGAGGCACAATCCCTAACTTAAAATTTAAGCGTACCCCACCACCGTAGGGTATCACCACCCCACGTATGAACGTGACATTAAGGGACTGATTATGCCTGCCAAGACAGGAGAGCTGAAATAAGTATCAACACCAGCAAACATAGAGCCCTCCCAATGCAAGGTGTGCTGTAAATGTTATTTTCCAAATCAGCCGACTGCTGGTGCTGCGCAAAGACTACTAACATGCAGAGGATTGTACTGATAAAGGGCTTCGTTTTTAGTAAAAACACTACAACACACCTGCTATGGAAGGACGCCATGTTGGAAACCCATATGGTTTAATGGATGCAATCGGTCTAATGCAATCCAGAGTTAAGGTATCAGAAACACGTTTGGCATTAAGAGGTCAATTTGAAACGCCTACTACATGTATATACACCGCTTTCACCAATGAAGGAACCGACTTTATGTTACAAATGATTCGTATCGAACTCGAAGAGGATCGGTTCAAACGTTTATACGAAATTGGCACAAAGAAATGTTTGAATTCTTACTGGCTGAGGTCAAATCATTTTAAGAAATGCCACTTTTTCGTTAAGAAGTGGGTTTTTTTATAATTCGAAAGAAACTTACCTCGCTATCTGTTCACCAACCATGGTGGCCCCTTTGGACAAATTAGCTGAAACTGGCCTATTAGAAAGTACACGTAATTTGATTCTATAATTAAATTGTAATATTAACAACCTTCTCTTGGTGTTTAAGCCACATGTGCGCCGAGAATTAGAAACAAGTAACTCCGATGTTGTTAACGTATACCGCTTAAAGTGCACAGAGGTATAAGTTAACCCAATATGTGCTGAAAAGGTATGTGTGCATAAGAACAGGTACTTGCCAGTCCGAGAAAAGTTACACAGACCAGCATGAGGGACAAAAGGAATAGTAAGAAGGGCAGGAGAATTTCACAAGAACTTAGTCTGAATAGTTTCACATGCACGGTACATTCCAAATGACCACATACACAAAATATGGTCGTTGGACATTCTGCAGAGTTCTTCTACCTATTCCAGCTGTGAAATGGACCGAAAAGGTTCCACTGTTTATGGTTAAAGAGCTTAATGTAACCATTCTGTGGGCATATTTGCCTTTAAACGTCTGTTGGCAAACCCAATGATATAGCACGAAATAAAGTAATTTCCTTATAGGCATTGTCTCTTCGCTACCGCATGATCAACTACCAAATTTTTTTATTCACATTTTTTTCTGCATACAGGTATATAAATGCCAAAGCGAGATGTCTCGTAAATGTGGTTCAAACGTAAAAGTTGTTAGCAGACGCAGGTAACATTTCGTGCGACTCTCTGGTAAAAGCAAGACCCAAGCCGTTCTTTTATCTGTTTTTGAAAAAAATATAAACCCAATTACCATCTCATGGCCTAAATGCAGAAAACATTGGCAACAGAAACAGGCAAGAGGGGTTTGAAATCCATGAAGGGAGAGAAAAAAATCTACCTACTTTAGCACGAACGTCCAAGGGCTCGCAGGTGGATGTGGAACCAAATTGTTAAGGGGGAAATATGAAACGTTTGTGTGTAATCTTTCTATGTTTTCAGAGGGTAAAGGCATATTTGGGGGCATTTTCTAGGCTTGGGGAAACAGAAAAACTAAAAACCCTCTTTCTCTAATAATGATTACAACAGCAGCAGCAATAACAACCACAATGACATCTTTAATCTCAATTGCGCGTTGGGATCTCCAGATGACCGCACTTTGGCTGTTGCATGTACATGTGATTCCTCAAAAACAATACAAACTCAGCTTTTCGTTGGCTCAGAATCTGAACTTTCACAGCAGGGATCGGGACTAGGGGCAGTGAACACCTGTATTGGAAAAGGACGTCGTTTCCATACTTACCTCATGTACGGATCAACACTGAGGTGCACTGCTTCCAACAAAACCGCTGTGGGTTGAAACAATATTAGGCTTTATTTCCAGACTGTTTTAATAGTGGGTAATTTGTCGCACAATTATTTATATATATTATTTATATATATTCATAAAAGGAGTGGAAGGCTACATTTTGTCAAGGACTTTAGATCGGCAAACATCTGCGGAACCAGTAACATTAATTATTTCATTCATTTTTTTAAATGTATTTATGTCTTATGTATACTGGGGAGCCCATTCAGTTTATAAAAAGCGTATTCTCATAGGTCCCAGTTTTCAGTTTTTAAAGCAATGAAATATCCCTTAAGACAGACGTACTGAAGGAATTAAATTAAAAACATCTAACATCAAAATGATCGAATATATAAAAGCTACTGATCAAGCGGTCACAGATACAGAAAAAATAATAATACACACTAAAACATGACTACTAAAAAAAGACTGAACCAACTTAATTAAGACAAGAGGCATGATAAAAACAACGACATAAATAAAAGAGATATGAATGATTAAGTACACGTAGATATACATTGAAACAATAATAGAATACACTTAGAGACTTTAGGAGGGATACTTCTGAAAAATGATCCAACCTGCTGGAAGAGGATGCTTAAAGGACAAAACCAGTTTGTTCCATGATTACCTGTCCTTCCACTAATTTCTGTTTTTGGGCAAGGGAGGTAAAGATTCACTGCAGCACAATGTCTAGTTCGGTAGGAGTGTTGGTTAGAATAAGAAAACAGTCAAACAGAGGTATTCTAGACCCATGCCACTAAAGTATTTGTACAGCATTGCATTAAATTCAGATGGCATTCACGTCTAACTTGTAGGTTTTCCCATCCAAATTTGTTATCAACCAATGAGCTTGATGTTCTTCGAGGCACCTCCAAACGAACACGCCAGTCTAACTTAACTTTTGCCCCAAACAGCGTCACAATAATCGAACTGTGTAAAGAAAACGACTTGACAAAAAGGTTAAGTGTCCTAATTGGCAAAATTTCCGAACACGCAGCAAGATCCGGATTCTTTTTGATACAGGAGGCTCAATATGTTCCGAATGTTCATTCCATTGAAGTTTGGAATCCATGATCACAACATTATGGAACCAACTACCGCCGAGTGTACAAGCTTCAGTTTAGGTTTACAACGAATGATCGTACACTGCATTGAACCCTCCGAGCACATAGTACCCAAATGTTAAATTCTACAAAACAATTCCCAGGTTGAAGCCGCCATGAAGTCACTTCATATGCAATGACAAGATTAGACTGGCGTACCCTGTAAGATTATGTTAGACAGGGCTTGTTTAGTACGTGCATGTAAAACAATGCAAAGGGCAAGGAACGTCCAAATGAGCATTGGAAAGAGCAAATGACCGACTGAAAGAGCAAATGACCGACTGAAAGAGCAAATGAGCAATAAAATGAGTACTTATACACTGAACTATTTCATCTGTTTCTTGTCATTTAAATATTGTCCTTCTAAGGGTCGACCTGAACGATATTTCTGCAGCCAAACCATATGCCTGGTATGACAAAAAGTTTGGACGGAGATAAGTTACCCACAGAGACATGTGGAAATGCACATCACACAAAGGGGATGAAGTTGACAAGGATCCTGAGGATATTCAGCCTGAATACCCGACAGGTGTGTGTGTGTTTTATTTCAAAAGGTGCAGATTTGAAGAATGGGGAGCAGAAATCTGTGGAACTGAAATGTACGCATGGTGAAAAGGAAGACTTCGAATGGCGAAGACGATGATTCGGAAGTCGAAACAGGGAGAGAGGATGACGGATCTTTGGATAAAGATTATTCTACTTCAGATTTGGAAATCAATGTCGCCTATTTAGATTGGTTACAAAAGTTAGAAGGCCATCGAGGAAATTCGCAGTGCAAAAATATGAAAGGTACATCGACAGGGGTAAGGGTGAAGATCAAGGTGGGAAAAAAGCCAATTTTCCAGTGTGATTACTTTCCCACCATGACGTCACATTCAGGAAGTTGCTAATTCATCTGTGATGAAGAATACTCGTGAACACGAAAAACCAAGCAGAAAAAGGCAAATCAACACCCTTTGTTTCGACTGTTAGAGCTATAAGTCAATCAGTTTGTTCTAATGTGTCTTAAGGAATTGTGGTTGACATGTGTACCATGAAGATCTTGATCAGTTTTGAAGATTCCACGATTTGTCTTGTGTCAACATGAAGCATGGAAAGGTAATTCGAAATAAGTAGTTGACGCTCTCGTAAAATTTTAGCTTTTTTCGTTTTCCCGAGCATTGAAAAGTTCTTAGGGTTTTGCACACAACTGTCGCGCCCTTCAACCATAGAGTCGAACGACAGCACGCAATCACATCATCTAATTTGCTGATAATTATAGTTAACAAGTTTTGAATTATCTTACAGGGGTCTCATGATTCAAAGAGGTTTCAATTTTGCCAGATTAAAAGGACTCTCTTGGACTTTGAAGCTATCTTCAGACCATTCAGATATGAATGCTAATCCATTTTATAGGCTGCACAAATGGCCACATAAAACAATAATTTGTTCAGCATCAGCGCCCACCTCAAAAAAATCTTGCTGCGTGATTTCTTTTTCTACAACGCCTACACAACCTTGTGCACATGCGACCTGAGTACAATGTCATGTGCACTTGTGCGCACGAGTTTAAAGTGAACGTACTAGCACTTTCGTTCTGTGCTTGCGGCAATCCAAATCACCAAAGTATTGAAAAAACGTCCCCCTCCTCGTTGTTTGCAAATACAACTGATGCTAAACTATTTCAGATAGCCTAAAGATAATTGATTCAGTGAGAGCTACACTGTTTTTATCAATAATATCAAACACTACCTAACAGAGCCGTGAGTACCGAGGATTAGTGAGATCGCAAGTGAATTAAACAGTGTATTGTACTCTTACTATTGAGGTTATATGTACACAGTTTGTTTGTTCAACGCCAATGTTTTCTTCAGTCTAGACTGTATTAAAATGCACTCATAATAATGAAATACGGGAGATCAATGTTTAAATTCACCACCGAACTTTGGACGTCTGATGAAGCAGCACTACTCATAACATCTCCGTCCACGTGTTGTTTGCCCCTCTTAAATATGACTCGGCGCTTTGACGTAATAGAGTCCCGGACGGCGTACAAAGACAATACGGGCAAGACAGGGGACATGAATGACGGCAGAACAATCCTGTCAATCGAAAATGATTTAACCAATCAAGTTGTGTTTGTGTGGTATTCCTTTGCTTTGTATTATACAGACGTTCATACTTCCACATAAACCCAGCCACGGTATTTTACCCTAGGCCTACATGCAAACATACTTAGAGAAAACCTTACTATAAAAATATTAATCCTGAGAAAACAATAGTTTTCTTTCAACTACTTGATAACTACACGTGGAAACGTACATTAAATCCAAATCATATCTGAACGTTCCTTTATTTACATTTGTACGAACCCTCATAAAATTACCAAACACACCTCTATACTAATGGAATATTCCTATTCCTCATTTTATGTCAACGGCTGTCACTTGGGACTAAATTTGGTTGTGCACTACTAGCGGGCCTCTGACAACAAACGCAAAATTCAACAATTTTATTTCATAGGCTATGACTTCACAATAATAAGTGACAAATAAAAAGAATTTTCATCATAACTTCCGCTGTGATGACGTCACAAATCTGAGGCTTGGCACACGCAGTTAAGTCATTGTTTTTAGCGATTAGTTTTATTGATCTTAGCAAACGTCGCCCTGATATCAACTGAAAATATATTTAGTTGTCTCAGCCTGCCGCCAAAGGGAGGCGAGCTCGAGGTTTTTCTGACATTACCAGAGTATTAGGTAATCTGGCCCAGGGGCTAACACCATTAAAACAAAGCTCAAATCTTGTTGACAAATTTCAAATAATACTTCCATTTCCGGTCTCGACCAGGAGCAAGGGTCAAATGATATTTAGGAAATCGCTTGCTGCAAGAAGCAAGGTGGGGAAAATCAAGATTGATTTTGTATGGAGTTTGTGAAGAATAAAACTTATCAAATGCTGATCAAACTCCTTTGAATTAAACAACTGGTGACGTTAAGATGACGTCATTCTTCTATGACCATTTCTACATTACAGCCTTCCCCTAGTGTAAATTGAGTCAACTTAATAAAAAAAACCGTGTTGACATAAACATAAGTCACTATATCAAGACCACGTATGCATTTTCGGGTCTTTGGTAGGTGTACTTGTAACTCTGATGAATATTGAAAATTGCAAAGTGACCAAACGTAGCACCTACGAAACTGTGTTCAAAGTGAATGGGCTTTGAGCAGCAGGATCTAAAGAAAAAAGTGCCAAAAAGAATTTCTTTTGCGCACGCCACTGTCTGCTGGCTACATTATCAACGTTTCATTGCTAGTTTGCTTATGGGATTTCTAAAGGGGGCTTTGTCACGGTACTCGGCCTTGACATATATGCTGAGTCAAATTAGACCTTTTTTACAGAAGGGAACAGGTTTTATTCCTTGCATTGCTATTACCCGGTTAGGCCTATATGTACCGAATATCCTTATACATGTCTCGCAACTACTGCAGTACCTGCGTTGCACCATAATGATGCAAATAAAGTATAGTCGCTTACGCCCGCTGAGAATTATAAAATAGCCCACCCCCTTAAAAATACATAAAAGAGAGAGAAAAAAAGTCGGCCTTCATACCATTGACAGAAAAGTTTTACATACATTCCTTCCCGTCGAAAGTTGAATTTACCCCTTTAACACTTCGCATTGATTTGTTCAAATGCCAATACCTGTTGCAACTGAGCACAAAAAACACCGTTGTTGGTATTTCACGACAATGGCAACAGTGGAAACTTGCCCCGTGCTCAGTCTCCTCCGAAACACCCAAACACACACACACAGCTGATACCAGGCATTACCGGGCCACAGTTTTTATGTCCCATTCAGCCAGGTCTGGGCGGTGCCTCCAAGATACTCGGCAACATGATTGTAGGACGGAGGGATACCCCCTATATGTCCAACCCTGTACATACACTCAGTTCAGTATTTGTGAGTAATTGGGCACAGGCCTATGTTGTTAACCCGAGGAATTGAAGGCTGTTTTGTTTCAAGTAGGCCTATTTACACCCAATAAGATGACAGAGAGTACATGTAACAAAAGTGAAATGTGGTGAAAATCAGAGAGACGAAATTGAGTAAAGAATAGTGAGAAACTCCTCAGCATACTAGAAAAGGGTTCTGTCACAACATTTATAAGTCTGACATTCTTTGGAAAAATTCTTGCCGAATTGGGTGAACGTTAGACTGTGTATCGGTGATTCTGGAAACTTGGAGGCAACAATGATAGAGTAGGCCCGCACTAACTTACATCCATCTTTGATTGGCGGCAACTCGAACTCAACGATCTTCAAGTCACTCTTCTTTGGCATTCCCTCAAAATGCTGCTCCAGCATCCACTTCTTTCCCTTCGTCATTTTGCTCGGTTTGCAACTCTACAGCCAGTGCGTGTGTATGTACAGCAAATGAAACGCACATTCAGCCTAAACACTGAATAATGTTCAGTGTGACGTCTGCTTGCATGCATGCAACACAAGCCCTCAATACGCCATGTACTATGTAGGCTTATAATATGCAGTGGCATTTGACCTTCAAATCCATGAAACAAATGAAGCATCCCGTGTCATACGGAGCTCTTTAATTGCCATCCGACATGTCAAGATCCTGTCAGGATCACTTACGATTGGATGAAGACCTCCTGAAATACGATGGCAGCACTTTCATTGTAGATAGGTATTGCAAGGGGGAAGAGGACTGAATGCTCTTCTTGAAATTTTTATAAATTAAGGGGGGAAGGATATTTGCAGAAAAAAAAAATAGGTAACAAAAATTACAAATAACCATGAAAGCATGAACTTAATACCCTTCGGCTGAGTGCACACCACTCACTAACGTGCGGGGTATAGGCTACGTGTTCCTCTATGGTGAAACATCGACAGTACTCGTGCAGTCAACACCCTCAGTGCTGGAAACATACTCGCTTCTCTTCCTCTTGCGCATTGGAGTCATTATTACACGTGTGTCACTGCAGCCAAACCTTCCGGGTTAAAACCACCTCAGGACTCTATGAAATTGAGGAATGCTATGTTAACCTCATGAGAGTATTTTCTGCAGTCGACACTCGGTGGTGGATATATACCTGTATTCTCTTTATCTTGCGTCTTAGATTCATTATTATATGTGTGCTACTGCAGCGAAACCTTCCGGGTTAAAACCACCTCAGGACTCTATGAAATTAAGGAACGCTGTATCAACCCTGTGAAAGTATGGTGAGCACTTTTTGAACCACTTTACAAACCATTCATGACCTTCACTGATATTTACATGTTCTTATCCATGAATCATTCCAAAATGCTCCCTCACTACAGATTTCTATTTCATTTGGAGATTGAGCAACCTTGGATTCAAATTACGATGCCAATTTTGGAGTTAAATATAACATTTAAGAATTTCTGTGAAGCGCACATTTCCACCTAAAATTGCTTCATAGCGCTACAAATATCAGCAATACAAGAAAATTTACTGGCTAATTCTTCAGGCAAAATTCTATATATATGCCAGACCGTACACCGACAGATCGTTCACCTCAGGACCTCAGGTAAGATCTTGGAACAACAAGAAGATTTACCCGAGTTTGTGTTAATTCAATTAAGCTTTTAATCCAACATTTAAAAAAAAGAGTGGCAAAACGTAGATACAGAAAAGCAGCCAAAAAACATATCAAATTAATTAATGAAAGGTAAAGAGATAATTCAAATCATTATTGACAATTTTATTTTATAAATCATTGATCCTGGAAACACGAGGGATGACAACCTGTGCCATTTTCTGTGGAGAAAAGCAAACATACACAATGAGGCCGGGGTGTGGGCGTTCCCGGTACTCTTAAAGTTGCTAACTGTAGCTGTTACGAGGCCCAGTAGATTCACAGTCACGGCAGCACATCAAATGATCGAAACGAGGAGAGGTGTGGACGTGAGAATTTCTTCCTCGTCGACACGAACTATAATGGTACAGTACGTGTACTTATTTTGTTACTATAATTGTATATTCGTAACTTGCAATGAACTCATAAAAATAATCTAAATTTTGAACATAGAAGTGATATCACAGAAGTAGTTTAAAACAGATAGGTAACACAAGGTTTTATTCCTATAATTCTAAACCTGTCACATAATCGATTATGTTTAACACCAATTTTCATTACTAGTTAGACCACTAATGTTCATAGCTAACTAGATTACTGAATATGATATCTATAGCTCTTCATTTGTATAAATTACAAAAGTCGACAATCTATTCAAGACCAACGAATGCACAGAAACTCTTATAATTCCGAATTATTTTAGCGAGATTTTTGGCAATTGCCTGAATTTAATCCATCACACCATCATATTCGATTTTCAAGAAATGGAAGAAACTATATCTTGGCTACAAATCAAGGAACTCTGAAAAACGAATGCCCTTGGCCAATTCCTGGTGAAAGACGAGCGGCAAAATATTGTTCAAAAATATTTGTCAAAACTAATGTCACTTAGAGTCGTTTCCTTCTTTGTTTGTATTTTCATTAATGAGAGATAACTCGCTTTACCAACAAAACATGCGTCATTGAACTTTTGGGAAGAAAAAGCTCAACGCAAAGTCGATCATTATGATTGAAGTCATTACGGTGTATCCGTTTTCCAAGTTTCATATTGTGTGTATGTTTGTTATAGAGATTCAAACGCAAAATTTATTCATTTCTTTGGATTTTGATTTGATAACAAAGGCTACAAAAGATAGCACTACTTGCTTGGGTACGTAAAGGACATTTTGACTGAAACACAGAAATTAAACTTCAACCACGGCTTTGCCGGTATTTTCTCCAGAGAACAGCTCCATGAAAGCGTCAAACATCTTGTCGAATCCCTTGGTGACGTGTTCCTTGTATTTCAGTTTTCCCTGTAAGAAAAAGAACCAGGTAAAAGGGATTGGACAGAAACAGTGTAGGTGAGATCACTACAACGGTATAGGCAGAATACCGGACACGAAATCAGAAATAAGTTTTTAATTAAACAGGGTGGATAACTACGAAGAGGATGTTTCTCTTGTAGTTAATTATTTATAGCTCGCACTATGACTTGAATTCGGAGTAGAAGTCTGCGTTGGTCTCGAGGCTAGTGTGTTGGTATGGCGGCAGCGGCATATCCAGCTTTGTTGACGGGGGGAATGATTCAACAGCGAAATCAGCTTTGGGCTTATGCAACATGATGTTGGAGGAGAACAAACATCAAAAGCCTTACTCCTGGTCCTGACATCCTTGCTTTTATTTCATGGTGCTGTTTTCTCAGGGCTTGGTAATAATATATGATAAATAAATATACCAGTTACTTTCTTTCGTGTGAAGTATTCTGTGGAAAAAAATCCCCCCTCTAGCTGGAGACGCCACTGGATGGCGGGTCCTGTGACGTCTAAATACAAATTTATTTACGAATACATTCAGTCACGTCAGTCAAGTGATGAAGACTCTTTTACAGATTTAATCTCGGTGCACAATTACCTCATCACCACTGAAATACCAAAAGACTGAAGACACTGTTTGGTTTCGTCATCTATAATATCACTCTGAATATCAGTTGAGGGAAAGAGAGCAGCCCATTCCCCCCTCCGCTTTCAGTAAACACGGAATGGGTCGTGTCCGAGTTTTCGGCTGCAATTTGAAATTGCTCATGATTCTTTTATCAGTTGTTTTTACTATTTTACGTCAAAGCTGGGTACTTCAGGCACGCTTCCACACTGCAAAAACTGTGGTGTAAAATCAACACTTTTGGTGTTATCAGATGACTCCACTATCGGGTTTTACTTTAAGACCGCTAGTGTTACCTTGCACACCTATAAGTGTTACAAAACGCCAAAATTTTAACTTCAGTGAAAAGTGTTGGTGTAGTCCTCTGATAACAAGGGGGGGGAATTCAATACCCCAGATTTTGCAGTACGGTTAGGCGGCAGTTTCCCAACAGCACACAGAAAATGTTAGCCAGGAGTAGATCTACGACACAGTGGTTGCAGTGACACTGTAAGCGAGCTGATTTTACGCCTTCGTGACTTCGTCCCAATCGATTCCTTACAGCTGTAGGTACTATTTACTCTACACTGTGTACTTTGTGTTATTTCCAAAATGCATGTTTTAATGATCGTTGTTACTATCCACGTCATATGCATCACCTATACCATACCTGTTCTTTCTGTGCATAGAATGTCATCCTGCAAATTGACTAGAAAACTGTAACATTTTACTCTTTAAAAAAATCTTGTTTTTATGAAACAAAGTGATCTAATGTTATTTACGACACCGCACACTATAATGTCAACGTTAATGTGGATGCAAAGCAAGGTACTAGACTACCTGTAATTACAGCATAGGCTACGTGCGGAATGTTTTTGAATAATTCAACACGGGTGTTTGGGCTGGACGTGGGGGCGCACTACTAACACACTTGCTTGCCAAAAAGATTCGACTTCAGAAATTCTGACGTGAAATATGCCAAAGGTTGTGTAATGCTTGATAGATATCAGGTGATCATAATAAATCAGCTGATCATCAGCGCTGATCATCTTTAGCAACCTCAACAGCATCGTGTTTGTTACCTAGAAAACATGTTGGTTTTTCTTCATCGGAGACCATGGACCTCCAATTAAATGATGGATACGCACACGCAAATGGGTTCCACTGAATGCTAACACTGTGCATGGCTGCTAGTAGCTCAAATTTAGTCATGAGGAGCTGTTCTTGCATAATTGTCGAAATGTACAAAAAGGACATTAGTAAGACAGCGTTTATACAAGCGACCGTCCACTGAATATGAAATAGGCAACTTCTGCACCCACGTTTGAGCAAAACCAGCACGCCCTCAGCAGGCACTTTCCTTCAACAGATCTAGAGTACAAATTGTGTTGGTCTGCATGTGCAGCCGGCGGGGAGTTTAATTTATTCCCCTTGAGGTCTTCCTTGGATTTACATACTAGCAAAAAATCACAAAAAGCCATAGGTCTAATCATGAAGAGCAGACATGCGCAATGGGTGACGGGTTAAACGTACCTCTTTAATCCACTGGATATTACGTTGGACCCATTCTGGGTAGCGGTCACGTTGGGAGAATATAACGAATCCCTGCATTTTGATCTGCTTTGTGATCAGATGAATGTGAGTAGCAGGCACTGCCAAGGAGAGAAAAATGTTTGAGTAAATTCTGGGTTGCAATCTGAACCGCAAAAAGCCCAATAAATCGAGCAGTATCCTCTCCGATTTACAAAACAGTCCTCTCGGTGTTCAAAAATGCATGAACTATTTCTAAAAAGTAAGCAAAGGATGTTAAACTGCGTTGTCGCTTGAATACAGATATGTAGTAAAAAATAAACGGCGGCCTAAGGGACCTTTATCACGTGGACCCTCAAAAAACAACAATAACAACAATACTAACAACAACATCAACAACAACAGACTACATAAGGCACAACAACTACTCAAAGACAAGCTACTGGTACGATCTGCAATCGCAACGTGGCGCAAAAATATCCCGGATAGCATTTCATCTTGTTTCAAGGAGGTCTGCTTATTTTCATTTCAGAATTAAACAGACTTTGTATTTTATCTGGTTATTATATTCACGCACAGAAACGTTGGGGCCATAGTTATTTCCAATTAAATGTACCAAAAGCAACATTCATAACAAGTCTTGAAACACAGATTCCACAAAACATCTCAAAACAGAAACAAAAGGGTGCCTTACACATCAGTGGTTTCGTGTTGTTGTATGTCGAAATGGAGCCACAGCAAGCTATGCGTCCAAATAATGCCATGTTCTCGAGAACGGTGCTGGAAAACTCTCCTCCCACCTAGAGGATTACATGGAATTCAAAATTTCTGAACCGAAGTCTTCAGACATCTTTCTCTTCTTTATAAACATTGACCGTTATTTTGTTTGGACAATGGCATGGCTGGTCAGCTTTTGCCTCAAAATGTAGATTTCCTTATTTGTTTTCTTCTTCGTAAGGTTTGCTATTTCTTAGAATTCATTGTTCATTAACATTCTATTTACTGCTTACTTTGTTGCTTGAGTGTTTAGCCTACTTTTTTCTTTCTAACATTTTATATGACTGGGCGGCACAATTTGCCAACCGCTGATGCTAAATTCTCAAAACGACGTGGCCCTCATGGGAATGGTATGTTTGCCGCCATTAGGTGTCTTAAAAATTCCCCCACTGCGAATTCAGCAATGGTTAGCGTCGTTATCACGGATCCTAAGTAAACTGATTTCATAACTGTTTTGATTTCTATTAAACCGGGGATTTTTTTATTATTTCAGTTTCACATAATTTGATCAGATTGGGGGAGGGGCAACTGCAGCTACAGTGACACGAGGCTACTCAGTATAGCCGAGGTTTAACGCTCAACTCACATTGTCAAAGAAGCAGTTAACGCCATCAGGAGCGACAGACTTCAAAGTAGCACCCAGGTCCTTGATTTTCTTGTAGTTGAAGGCTTCATCGAATCCTAGCTCCTTCAACCAGGCCACCTTTGCGTCTGATCCGGCAAATCCAATGACTTTGCAACCCTGAGGTCAATAAAAAGAGGTCGATAGACTGATTGATGTATTCAACACAGAATAAAAACAATCAAAGGAAGTTGCAATACCTGGATTGCGTGAATGACTGTTAAAAACCATTTAAAATACAATTAGAAATTGAAAACATTAAGAAGAAACTAACACTGGATGGTAAGCCTGCAAGAAAGAAAAAAATGTTTGCAGTATCTTATTTGAATTTGAGCAAACGTCAGTGAAAACCAATGAGAAAATTTGTGATAGATCTGGGCATTAACGAAAATGAAATAAAACAAACTCAAAATACACTTTTGAACCAAATACCTGGAAACGCAAATACTAGGAATAATTGAAGTTTAATATTAGACTGCCAGTTAATGATAGCCTCGTTGGTATAAACAAGAATATATCACAAGGCACTTGTGTGCAAGGTTTTCTTAGTGTTACAATTGTATAAAGAATTGTCATTTGGAATCGAGCAGAAAATAGGCGTCTGTTTTATACAAGAAGAATGGGTTCGGTCACCGGAATCACTTGTGAGTTTAGTCTCTCTCTGTCTGATTTGTGGCTCTACGGGAATTCGTCTTTATATTCGGGCTTCAAACAATATATTCACGACTCGCTCTCTGGTCGTAAATATTGCCGTCAATATTCACGACCAAATTCAAGACGTGTTGTATCTGTGGTCGCAAATATTGCAGCGAATTTTTATCCAGCAAGCCAGGTGTTCACGCACACGCGCAATGACCTACATTTCGGCTTGATCTCAAGTCGTTATTCGGCAGGGCAGTTTTGGTACAACGCAGAAGGCACAACGTTAAGAAGCAATTGCTGTGTCTATCCGCTCCGAGCGGAACAATAGAGGGCCATTTTTTTTCTTTTTTTAATTTAGTACTCACCACAGAGGAGCACGTTAATAGTGGAGATGAAAGGCGAGTTTGACGCGGAGCACACTGAGTAAGCATAGCGAATTTATGTAATTTATTGTGATGATATGACACAATCACCCCGGTTGAGCTGCTTCAGTTGTTTATCTCAGCCGTGTGTCATTGAGCAATTTAAATAGAGGAAAAAAGAAACCTGGGAATGCAACAGAAAGCAATGAAACCAGTAAATTACTGTTTCATATTTCTATGAAAACCATTATCATGTGCAGCTTAGCAATAACTGCAAAGGATTACAGTTTGGTATTTTACAGAAGAACTCATCCAGTACCAACTTCAATGAAGGCCAAAACAATGGTCAAACACACCGACATCAACTGTCAGTCTAAGGTCATCAGTCTGCGGGCTACCTCAGAAGCCCCAGGGAAGGCGAGTTTTGCAGGGGAATACGGTTTGAAGATTTTCCCAGCCAGTGGTTATGCACGTTGGCAACTTTCTAGAAACTTTCCATTGCCACCGCCTGACAGGCTTACGAGCCAATCCGCTCACAGGAAAGTAAAGGCCTAATTAATTATTCCATACATAATTAATTACCAATCCCAAATGAATTCTCTTTTTTTTCTGAACAGGACTAACCTTGACCTTGCCAATTTGTCCCACAATGTTACCGACTGCCCCAGCTGCACCGCTGACTACCACTACCTCGCCAGCCTTAGCTTCACAGATGTCAACCAAACCGTAGTTGGCCGTCATGCTATGAAATTGCCAATAAAAGATAATACTTTTATTCATTAGCTCAAGTAATTATATTATTATTAAGCCACCTGCACTGCAAAAACAAGTGTTTAACGCAAACCTTCCTGGTAACACTGTCTACATGTGTTGTGGTGTTAATAATCCAAAGTTAAACACGTTGCTTTTTTAAATTAAAGTAAACAAAGACGTGTTGATGTGTTCATTCATTTACACACAAAGTCACACGGGTGTTAATGACAAGACACAATATTAAAGCAAAGACGCATCAGTAATGAACGCTGGTTTTACATTGTAGGCTATGGTATAAAGACCAGTTACCAGCAATCGCCAAAGTCATGAAAAAGTAGCAATATGTGACACTAATTTGCTCAGTTTGATTATGGACATTACGGACGGGCCGTCTCGGGGCCTGTTTGTTTCACCTGGGATCTGGATCAGTGTTCCCAACGCTGGTTCGCTCCCTTCATCGGGTGGATTCTGGTGGCAGTGAACTAGCGAAGGATACACTGATCCAGATCTGGATTCGTGTGAAACAAAGAGGCCATTAAAATATTTTGTTGGATTCCATTCAATCGGAGGTACATGCACGTACTACATCCAATGATTTTTATTTGATTTTTATTTAAACCAGTGGGTTTATTATAATAAACCACGTATCTTAGATAGGTCCAACCTCAAGAGGAGGTGGCGGTGGGGAGGCGCTCTAGCGGAAGAAAACACGCATTAATAAAAAGGGGACATAAAATGAGGATTGGGAATCAGAAACGTGCGTGGAAATACCAAAGAATCGACCCCTTCCAATGATGTTCGTTCATGATTTTTCGCTTCGTTGCTCATGAGCTTAATAACTTACCCTGGAAAGAGTTTTTCCCGCATTTTCTGTCACCTCCTATGTCCCCCCTTAGAGTGCATAAATCACAACGCGTGATTTAGCAATTGCCGTATATGAGAACTAAATAATAGGACAAGACTAGTTTATAAAGCAACAGGCCTAACCATTGTTTTCAATTCAACTTACCCGGGCATACCCAGGGTTCCTAAGGCCAGAGAGAGCGGCACGCCCTCTGGGTATGGTGGGATCTTGGTCAGGTCCTTCCCGTCGGAAACAGAATGGCTCACCCAGCCAGCATTGACAAGCACGTTGGTGCCCACAGGGAACTTGGGGTTCTTGCTTTGAGTGACCCTAAATCCAACATTAATTCAAATGTTAATTGTAAGACAGGATCACCGCACGCGAAATAACTGGCTTGCGTGGGCAAGTCAGATTCAAACACCTATATATGCACCACTTTCATTAATCAACTCATCACCTTTATGTTACAAATGATTCTTGTCGAACTCAAAGTCGACCACTTCGAACATTTTCATGAAGCTGGCCCCCGAAGTGATTATACATGGATTTGTACCAGCTGAGGTCGAACTATTAAACAAAATTTCACTTTGTCTCTGGCATGTGACAGTTTTTCTTTCTTCGTCTTCTATCTTTCTAAACAAACCTACCTTGCTACCTGTTCACCGATCATGGTGGAACCTTTGGGCAACGAAGCTGAAAATGGCCTATTAGCAAATAAACAAAAATGGATTTCACGATTCAAAATATAACATTAAGTAACAATATCTCACTTGGGTATTTAAGCCACGCGTGTACTCAGAAACAGGGAAGTCAGGATCACGTTGCTCAGATCGCCAGTCAATGTACACAGATGTCATTTAGCGCAATTAAGCGATCGTAACAACAATTTAAGGAAACGCGACTCTGTTTACGAGGGTGTTTAAAAGGTGAGGACAAGATCAGTAACTTGGAAGGCCAAGGAAAGCTAATAGTAGAACATGAGCGACAAAGACAAAGGTGGGAGAATTCAAATGAAAAGTGATATCCCAAGAAAACACGCAGCATGAGGCCAATGCAGTTGTACACAAATACTTTGAAAA